TCGACGAAGTGCCGAGGCAGTGCCTGTCGGATTTGAACAGGGCAGTTCAATAGGGGTAGAAATTTGGTCGCGTGGTACTTGGGCAGTGTTGGCTTGAAAATGGATATAGGTTTGTTGAGGGAAAATGCTGTTGAGTCCTAACAGTCCTAACATGGCTCGAATGCTTGCTTGCCTGCGACTTCGGCCTCCCTGCCTGGATGCCTAAGAGTGACGTTCTGCCGCTCCCAGAACCACGGTGGAAGCTCCTTGCCAGGCGCCAAACGAGAAGACGCTTCCAACCAAACCACCTTCACTGCTACATCACTGCTACATCACTGCTAGAGGCAGAACGTAAAAGGAGGTCTCAGACTTAACCCTAACAATCCTTATAATTACATCATCTCTTGAAATCTTCAAGTCTTCAAGGATCCTTTGGTCTTGCAAGGCCAACCCCCCGTGTCACCGGTGCCAAAATGCTCCTGCAAAGGTACCGCATCCAGCTCGATGGCCGCAGCCCACACCAGCCGTTGCTGCGGAGTGAGCCAGCTCCAGCTGAGCGCCTCCCGTGCCAGGCAGCGCAAACGCTCCATGAAGGCCGCGTCGCGGCCTTCCGGGCCTCAAGACAAGGCCACCATTGAGGGGAAAAAGGAGCGAGCGAGTTATCCGACACCACCGTGGTGCCAACATTGGCATTGCGACGACTTGGTGGAGATCAAAAAGATGCATACATACAGTGAGCGCATGGCTTGTGGGTTGCTGTGTTGGTTTTGGGGGGAGCTGCTGAGTGGGTTGTCCACATTGCCTTAGGTATCTTAAGGTGGGAGACAAAGGAGGGAAGTGGTGCTCAAGTGCCGAGGGAACTAGATCAACTTGGTCCTGAATCAACTTGCGCAACATGGCCCCGTGGAAGCCCACGGACTGGGCCAGCACAATGCGTATCACAAAGGAAAAATCAATCAAACACACCAGCTGGATCTCGCCCCGCCTACTGCTTGCGAGAGTCTCACTGCAACAGCCTTTGCCGTGGCGGCATGTGGCACCAGCGAACCGCCCGTCCTCTGGCAGAGAGAGCATCCCGGCTGTTCAGATGAAGTCATGTGTTCAAAAAGGCTCATTGGAAGCAGCTGAGTCAGTTGGAAATAATTGCTTCATTGGCACCTAATCTGCTTCAAGTTGCCTAAAAATCGGTCCTTCTCAGCCTCGGGAGCGCTCCAGGACCAAGACCCATCTGATCCACAATATTCCAACCCGCAAAGCCGACCTCCATCCTCTCCGCCATCAGCCGCATCGCGCCAAAGACGCCGACCAGGCCGAGGAGAAGTTGGCTGCCACGGTGTCCCCGCCTTCGATGTGCCATGAGGACCCATCAACGAGGTGCTTCTCAACCGCCCCAAGGAGTCCTTGGAACTCCTGAAGACTCGGCGGCAGCACTCTGCGCTCGGGCCGGTGGCTGCAAGCTTAGCACTGTCGATACAATTCTTTCTTGCCGACATGGACTGCACTGTAGAGAAAATGGATGCCTTGCTGAAGAATCTGAACAATTTCCGGTCACACAAATCAACGATCGCAAAAACTGCAACTGGTTGGAGCAAACTGAACCGAAAATGTTCTTGCCGAAAAATCTGCAGCAAACTTCCTGTCACACAAATCAATGATCGCTCAAGTTGCAGAAAGAAGGCTCGCTCTCTGCGTGAAAATGGTTTCCTGTGTGTCCATCTCTTAGCAGATTAGAGCGCTGTCTCTCTCTCTCTCTCTCTTCCAAATGGCTCCCTCTGAGGCAGCGGCTGAACCAGCTCAGTGGCTGGCCGCGGTCGAAGCAGTTCCGCCGTGGAGGATGGCCTGAGTGGAGCAACGCCAGCTGAGCTCCCCTCGAAAGGTCCTGGAGGGCAGCCTATTCTAGTCTGTAAATGATGGTCGGTATCTGTCGGCATATGTATTTTCTGAGGACTCATCTCTTTACTTTAACGGAGCCATTTTTTCAGGTTGCGATTCAAATCGATTCCATGCATTTGTCTACTCCCCTTTCACTTATTTTGATGGAGACTTTTGGAATTCCATGAACAAACCAACCGCAACCCGTCGTGCCACAGTCGGGTAGCATTTTGGTCCAGCAAGGCGGTCCACCCTTCTCATGGCCAAGTGGCACCAGTGGCACCGTAAGCCCATGCAAAACCAACAGCTGTATTGTTTTACATGTTCTCTGGTGGGATTCAACACGAATTCATATTGGATCCATTCCCTGGTCTCGTGGACAGCTAAAAGGAAGAAAACATAAGAAAACCACCTCCTTGCAGGATGTTTAGGTCAGGTTGTCTGGTTCCAGGCTTGTCGCTAGGGCTTCGGATGCACTGCTGCAGTATCAGTCACCCTTCGAAACTTAAGACATCAAAGCCGGCTGAGATCTTTGAGCTTTTGAGCATGAAACCAAATCACTTCACATGCTTCAAACAAGGGGACCACAAACACACCATGGCACAAAGAGAGATTCACACCACTGCTTCCCAAATGACAGCCAGGGCCCCTCAGAATGGCCGCGACTCTTTTTACGCACTCCTAGGCCTTTGTACCCTTCGCCTTCTGTTCCGACCTCCTGGCAGCTTCCAGGATGAGTGGATGAGAGCCACGAAGCCGCTTTGCCAGCTCAGGCGGCAAAGCGCCGAGCCGTCGGAGTTGCACTCTGAGCCACTCGTACTCCGTTCTCTCAGTCTTGGTTTTCGGGAGCCGCCCATGCTTCTTCACGGTGTGGAGGACCTTCTCCAACTCTTCTTCCCATGGTGCCAGGTCAATCTTTAGAGGGCGGTCGTCCCATTTCTGGAGGAGCTCTTTCACCAAAGGATGCACTTCCTCCAGCATCTTCCTCCTCTCAGGCAGAACTCCATTCGTTCGAGCCTTCCGCAACCACCTTGCCAGTCGAGGGCCAGAAGAGTCGCCCTTGTTTCGCGTTTCGGTTGGAAGTTTGTCATTCATCTCTATGAACTCCTTCAGCTCCTGGCACTTCTGCTGGAAGCGGCCAACAGGGCCACCGGCCATCCACCCCTCAGCACGTCTGCGGATAAGATGGGATCTTGCAGTCAGAAGTCTTTGAAGTTGGTGGGCTGGCATTTGCTGCAAGGCGACCCGCACAGCTTGGTGATTCAACCAGCTGCCCAGCACTGTCTCAGCACGATCAGCAATAGCTGGCCGCGGTTGAGGAAGCCTCCAGTTCGCCTCGACAAATGCTTCCAATTCCCTGAAGCGAGTCTCCCATGGGTCTTCTCGAGATAAAACTGCATCAAGTCGGCTATGAACATACCCGATGAATCCGTCCACCCCAAGTTCTCCTTCCAGGCCCAAGCTGCAATCGACAATTTGGATTCTATGTCCGGCATCAGCCCCAATCAACCACCTGTGATCTGCTTGCACCAAGGCTCCCAAAAAGCGCTCCAGCTGATTCTCGCACTTCTTGTCAAAAGCTTCAACCCCATCACTGCTCCCAAACGTCAACTGTGTTTGCTGCTTTCTTCTGAATGCTACTCGCGTCATCCGATGCGGATGTGCTTCAGTTGCGGGGCTGGGAAGAGTCTGCAAGTCCTGTTTGGTGCTGCCTGTGGGTGAAGGGGACCGATTTGCAAAGCCATCACTGTGACGAGATTCTTCATCTGGACTGCCCCTATCTGTTCTGGCTAACTTTGGTTGCTCCTTGACCTCTGGCCTAGTGATTTTGGTACGACCGTTGCGCCGGATGCCATCAAGAGGGTCTGCTTCAAGGTATCGGCTGCGGCTTCCCCCTGGTCGCGCAGCCTCAGTCTCAGGGCCCAACACTGTGCCAGCATTCTGGTTGGCGCCTCTTCGGCTTATTATGTTGCTGCTGCCTGAGCCTGCTTGTGACAAACATGACAAACTATCTGGAAGCTGAGCTTGACCACTTGCAGCACACCTAACTGTAGCAGGTTTGCCCCAGCTATTCACCTGCAGGCTGTCCACAGAAGTGGCCGAGTTCCAATTTCTAGGTAGTTCTCCTGGCTTCTCCTGATGCCTTGTGCTGCCATCAGAAAACACACATGGCCGGAGTGAGGGCACTGCTCTTTGCCGTGGATCACGGGCAAAGCCCTTCAAAAAAGACTTTTTCGGCACTTTGCGGTTGCCGTGCCGCGACTGAGATGGCGAAAGACCAGATGCTGCTTCTTGCTCCACCAATTGGCGACTCAAGCTGTCAAAGACATCAGCGGTGCTCTTGAACTTATTCGTCGTCTGCGCTCCATTCTCATGGGGAGTTGAAAGTGAAGATGCATCGTCACCAAGGCCCTTGATACCGGAACGATGTGCAGGCACATTTGACAAAGACACATGATCCACGTCTCTAGCAGCGTCATGTCCAGCTCTCCCCTGCTCTGATGAGCCTTCAGCTGACTTCACATTTGGTAGCACCACAGCAGGTAAAACGATATGTGCAAGAGCCTTGGCA